TCACGTGCAACCACAACAGCCAATGAACACATCTGCAATGGTTTGAATGTGTAACAGACTAACTAACAGTCCTAAAATAGCTGCTAAGGACTCTTGCCTCCCAGTGCCTGTGTTCAGCAGTGGTGCTCTTTCAGTTGGTACAATCAATAAGCAGGCTATAGGAGACTTAGTTCTTAAACGATGTAATGAAGACCCTTCAGTCTTCAGAGACAACCAGCATTGACAGGGACTAAGTGTATGTCAGAGAAGACTTCTAGAACCAGACTTTATACAGACATCTAATCTCTCCTAAAATAATAACCGGTAATAATTTGATGCCATTTAATAGCAACTTGATGTGGTTTGTATTAAACTCAACCTTTTTATGTTGATCCATTACATTTGTCTGGTTATGCAAAAATAATAGTATTTCTTCAACCTTTTCATCTTATAATCCTTTTCAGATCAGCGTTCCACACCACAGGCTTTTCAGACATTAATTTTAAAGCTGTTGCTTCTCTGTAGATTTATGCTTTTTGTTTCTTTTTGTAATTACAAAGAAGGTTTGAATTTTTTTACTGCTGTGCCTTTGTTCTTTTATACAAGAAATTAATTCCTGTCTACACTAGCTCTCTGACAAAAGTACCAAATGAATAGAATGACTTCAGGAAATTGAAAAAAGGTTAAATTTTGAGAATTTATTTTTTGTTAAACTTGGGATTTTTTCTCTTTTTAGCCATTTAACAAGGATAGCTTTCTTAAATGAAAGCATAACCCCACCCTGTTTTCCAATTAGGGGATGAAAACCAAACCACATCTAACAATACTCACATCAAAACTGGAATTTATACAATCAATTTCAAAATGTTAAAAGTATCAGCTGCAAAGTTTAAAAATCTGACAAAAATGTTGGGCCTTTTTCCTACATTAAAAGCAACAACAAAAGAGCCCAAAACTTAATTTCCAGTTTTATTTCATCTCATCTTCAAACTACTGGCACTTGCTTGAAGTAAAACAATATGACTGCCCAGTGAAGGGAAAAAAGACAAGGAGTTACTCTTCCATTCCACTTGGGCTAGCTAAGTTACAGCTGGACTTTGTAGCACAGTACTTAGACTGGGATCAGGTTTACTGCATTAGGATTCTTGATGACTACAGAACAACCTCAGACTGAATTGTCCACAAAATGCTTGGAAATAGAAAGGAATGGAATTTATCATTTGTAAAATCACACAGTTTTGTTTGTAAAAACCGTCACAGACTAACCATCTGAACACAAAATCACCTTGTTTATTCTCAGTTTTTCCTAAGTGATCACTGACAGAAAGCAACACTAATTTACTTACATTTCAAATAAGAAACTGCAGGCCTTAAAAGTTACATTTCTCCCTTTATGGTTAAGTATGAACAATGCATGCAGGTTTATGCAAAAAAAGGAGAACCATAACGAGCAATACTGCAATTACAATGTCTTTTATTCTTGGAAACTCGTACAGATCACATTGAAATGTGAGGGCATGAAGACATACGCTAGTGTGGATGTATTATTTCTTCATTTTTCAGATTTCAAAAGTCTTATGAACACTTTCAATGTTTGACATACAGCACAGCTAGAACAATACCCCATGCCATGATTGATAAAGAAATGAAGAACAACCCAGTGTTTGCCATGATATATTAAACACTTGTTGCCAGCTACCCAAAGTTGGGATATCCCCCCAGTTTTCTGAAGGATTTGAACTTTTCCAAGTTTATCAGGGAAGTACCATATGCTAATACACTCTCAAAACCAGAGATTTTTAGGACCTGCTACCAAAGGAATATACAAGCATGGAGAAAAAGAAGAGGCTCTCTTCCCGTCTGAGAAGTAAACAATGAGATAACCCACAAGCAATACTGCTGTGAGCTACAAAGTAGTAACCAAGAGCAACATTTTACTGACTTTGAGAGCATGGTACGATTTGCTCAACATCTGAAAGATACATTGGACAACAAGGTGTCCTTTCAGGGGCTGGGCGTGAACCAGATGAGAACAACGGGGTTTGAGTTTTTTGGTTTTTTTTTTTACTTCGTTTTCATTTTGGATATTTTCTTCTTGATGCAGTACTGGCAACCACCTTCAGTGCTTGAAAAATATTATAAAATGAAGACAGTCGTGGTAAGCCAGGGTGCAAGTCAGAACCTGTAATACCTTTTGCCTGTTATCTTTTATTGGCAGAAGCATTACCCCCCTCCTTAAAAATGCTGCTTTGTAGAGATTGTGTGTTTTCCAGGATAAGCTAATTCCTCTCCAACTAGTAAAATACTATGAGTCACATTTTTTTTTAAGACCAAAAAGGCTTTAACTCCTCAAAATTTTCTTCCATGGTAAAAGGAACAAAAAAAAAGTTTCATTTCTATTAACAGGTTTCTAGTAAGATTGACTGTTTTAGACAACAGAAATCAACTTTTAAGAATTTAAGCATACTAAAATGGAGCATATATATTCTGTAACCCAGCCCCTGCATGCATATTAGCTTATATTGAAATATCTATGGCACAAATTTAGTGTTTTTCTTTCATTGGAGAGAAAAAGGGACATAAATTCCCAAAATAAAGACAAATTCTTAAATGTGGGGCAATAGTTGAGACCTCTCCCATCAGAAGTTATCCAATTACTTCCTGCTTCAGCGTAGCAGCAGGTCTGTGGTTGAAAATGGGACTTTGTGAATGGATTTGACCCAGCAAACTGCATCCTACAGTTATTTTTACTCTCCCTTCATGAAGAGCTCAAAGGTATGCCTAGGCTGCATTCAGAAAGCGTTAACAACAGCAGGCATTAAGCATGCATGATGAGCGGTAAATGTATAAACAGCATTGAAGGCTCTAGCATAAGTTTACTAGCCTAAATCCTAAATCAGCTAAATCCTGAGCTGATACATTTTATCTAGGTACTTTAGTGTACTAAGGTTGGACTTTGAAACAGTGGTGTAGACATATATAACGTTATAAAACAGAAATAAGGGAAATGACAGATGGTGTACTCAGAAAAAGTGTTTTTGAGGAAACAGAATTAATTAGCTTTTCATTTTCATGAGCATAGTCTTATTTGAATAAAGCACACACAATAATCTCTAGTATTAAGTATTTCCATATGTTTTAAAAATCAGGAGGAGACCACCCAAAGGGCACATTTCTAAGATAAATACATTTAAAAAAATCAAATATAGCAACATACAAATTGACAAGATACATTCTGTGAGGTTATTAAAACTCACTTGGGAATATCTTGCTAGGATTTCATGCAGTCTGATAAATACAGCATTATTATGAGTTAGCAGCAACTTTGGAGTCACAAATCAGCTCAGCTGGTACAGCAAAATTATAGCCAAACTCAGCTGTATCATATTCAGTTATCTCTTTGCCATAAACTACCTTTGCTTTCAGGACTGTGCTGACTATATTTATGTGCATGCATGCTCTTTGCAAAAGAGAAAGGAAAAAGCCCAAAGAGTCTTGCCAAAATAGGGGAAAGGGCAATTTCAGTAGGCAAATAATAATTTTGTTCAATATACTTTAAGAACTGACCAACTGAGGCACTTGCCTGGTAAAGCAGGTCTCTGCAAGGTCTGAGGTCAGCAGTCTCTGAGGCACATTTTTTCCTAAGGGGGGGGGGGGGCAAAAAAAAAAAGTAGTATTCTACTTTTTTGCTGGTAATCATGCTTTGCAAGTTAAAAATACTACAGATGCAAACTCCAGATGCAATTCTGTAAGGGAAAATAATCCCAAGTTAATACACCATTCTACTGGGAAAACAAAAAGTCTCCAATCATTTTTCTCATGAGCCTGAAACTATGTTGATGGCTTGAAGCAAAAAGACAAATTCAATGGTCTGTATAGCATTACTATTTGGAATATCTGTCTGGATGATGCATGACCTGTTTAAAACAATCCCAAAGTCCTCCACTGCTTTATAAGGCTAAAACATACTGAAAGGTATAGAGTTCTATAAAAAACAGAGGGTGGAACTGAATTCATATGCAGATAGGAACATGAGAAAGAGCCTGCCAATGCCTTCAGTTTGGATATCTGACTTTTCTGATCAGACAGGAAGAGAAAGGAAATAATGTCACTTAATTATAATAATGTTTACTGAAATATGGTAATACTTCAGCTAAGAATGAAAAGGCTTTAAATCTCTTAAGAGAAGTGCCCAAGAATTCTTTATTGTAGAAAGCAATGCTTCCATACACCTCACATCTAAAATAGACAGCAAGACAAAAAGCATTACTGTATTTGTTTGCATCAAGGAAATACAAAACGTAAGCTACACATCATGACAACAGGCAAAGCAGAGTGGGAAATGGGGACATAAAGGAAGATGTGGCAGAAAACCTTTAACACTGAAATATACTTACGAAAGCACTGTTTGTCAAAAGTACCAAGCATATAGCTTAAAGTACACATTAAAACCTGGAATGGGAAGTTATAGTTCCACAGTGTACATAGCTTTCTAAGACTTTTTAACTTATTCCCAAATGTGAAAGCTACCTTTAAACAAAGGGAGATCAAATTCATAACTTAAAAATTAAAACAGCGGGTTATACAATAAGATCAGCGAGAAGGTACTTTACTGGGAAAACTTGAGAGTTTTCACAGCTTTTACAACACACTTTAATTCAAAACAGGTTGACATAAAGGAACACTCAAGATTTTGTCCATGCTACTAACTTATTTAATCGAAGAACCGTGAGAAAACAGGAACAAAGTGATAGTTACTAGATCTGCAACCCTTCCTTTCTTGGTCATTTACCCAACCCTCAGCTGTTATCAGTGCACTGTGCTGGCTACTCCACGTTGCTGCACGTCAGGCCAGCTTATCACAACTCCCGACATTCTCATTGCAAACTTCAGATGGGCCAAAATTCAACTGACTACCGAGGAGTTTCTTGAACTCTTCAGGCAATCCCTTTGCAGCATGATGGAGAGCTACTCTGGCTGGGGCAGTAAGGACGCAGAGCCACTCTGGCCATGAAATACATTCCTTGTCTTTGAGATTAAAAATTAATTGAATTACCTGCATGTAACTGCTAAGTAAGTAACTTTTGTTTTATGTTAATTAATTTTTACTACAGCAGAGTTTTGCTCAGAGGAAGTTAATGCCATTTTCTACTCCAGAAAGAGAGGAAAACTTTGTAGAGGCTGCTCCTTCCACAAGCCAAGCCATATTACTTACTAGCACGAGAATGCCTGTGGGTGCAGCGTCCTCACAAGCCCACGCTGCCGAAGCCAGGGGCAGCCGGGGCGCGGGGCGCCGCTGCAGGGCCCCCCCCCC